CAAAACTCTACACTTGTCTTTGTTGAACTTCCATGAGTCTTCTTTACCTAAAAGATCGAAAGTAATTTCCTTAGATTTTTTTCCTCTGCTCTCCTACTCCACTCAGTCTGATAAAACCTTCGTCGTTAGTAAATTTATCAAATTCTTGTTCTGCAAGTTCCCCTTAGGTAAATAACAAATTGGGCTTGCGCAATTTTGAAGTTACAGGTAGTCAACTGGTGTAAACCACTTTCACTTCAAATGAACTTATGTCCACTAGCATCCAAAATACTACTTACCTCACTGTATTAAAACCAGCAAGAAAACTGTTCTTTAAAATGTCCATTTTTACAGTTGTCAAAAAAGACTGTTCATTTTAACTTTAGTTAAAATCCTAGTGTTGCCAACCTTATAGAGTACTTTGAGTCTTTTTCTAAAGAAGAACAGCAGTCAGCACAGAAATATGTCTGACCCAAATGCTCTGAGATCTAAATTAATTTTTTTTTTCTAAAAAAAAGTTGATAAACCCCAATCAACTAAATGGATTGCTTGTAAAATCCCAAAATGAAAGCACAGGTTGAAGCATTGAGAACAGCAGGGTGTAAGAAATGCACATAACTCAAATAATTGTATGTTCAGGCCCTCTTCCTCATATTTTCACTTAATGAATTGCAAAGTCTTATAAATTAAGACTGTCTTACAGCTGAAAGTATAAAAGATGTGTCCACACAAAGCAGCATGGACCTCACTGAGTTCCAGCAAACAGCTGGGATCCTTCTGTAAAGATACAGCTGCTGGCTGATGGTCCAAGGCCTGATTTGTACAGCTGTAAAAGTTGGTCATCTCTTCTTGTCCTGGTGTGTTTGGGACTTTCAAAACAGTTTTTTTGGGGAACTTTTCAGAGCAGCTTGGAAATTTTACTGGCTCAGGCTCCAAGACTGAATGCTGAAAAGGAAGTTAGGCCCTGACCTGCTGGAGTCTGCCCAATGATTGACATCCAGCAGTAGGCTTAGAGCTTCCTTCAGGCACTTCATAGGGCAAGAGCCTTAAGTTCATCTTTTTATTTTGGATGTAACTGATAGAAATACAAAGAAAAATTGCAGTGTGAAGAACTAATTAGAGGGACCTCAAGAAAAATAAAGGTTCACTCACAAATGGCATAAGCAATAGTCAGACAGAGGGACTTATTTTTAAGTGTGCTGTTTATTTAGAAATCAGTGTCAGGGCTGCTGAATATTCGAAGGGAGATAAATTATGTGATTCTCAGACAGCAGGTTGACTTAGCAGAAATCATCACGCTGTCATTACTCCTACATCCGTCTGGTGATGGCACCCAAGCCAGCATGGGTTTCTGCATTTAGCAGTCCTGTAGTAGCTCTCTGAAACTTCTGTGCTGTAGACATGTTTGTACTGAAGTCTTTACCAAGCAAACTGCTGTAATGCATATATAAAAATAATACCTTCAATACCTTTTAACATAGATTAAGTTCTGGGGGGTAGGTGCCAATGATACAGTGGCTGGGAACTGTAGCATTTTGAAGATAACTTTTCTCATTATTTTGCTGAAGATAACGTTTCCTTCTGTTTTTTTGATTTGCTTTTTTGGAGAGAGAAGGATTTTGTGACTCTTCAGAGAGAAGAAACTTATTTAGGTTCCTTTTACTTCTGTTGCTCACTATGAAAGGTCAAAATACTCCCGGTATTTTGTACTTTCAATACAAAACCTGCAGTTATGGGTTTTTTCCCTCACTTAAGTATTATATAAAGAGGTGTTTGTTTTGCCCTGTGGACAGACAAATCTACCCCATCAAAGCGAGGTGACGTGTTATGTATCTGGATTCCCTGCTTTCCTTGTAGCTGGTGGAAAGAGGCACCACTGGAAAGTGACTCAGTCCACTGAAAACCTCAGTCCGCATATTGGAACAAGATAGCATCACCTGAGCAAAAGCTGGGCCACTCTGTTTTTTAGGTAGTGATGCTGGGCTGGATACTGCCACATCAAGTTAGTATGCAGAGTCCGATAGATATGCAAGCATTTAACCATAAGTACCTGCCTTCCGTCACAGCACCAGCTGCTTATGGTTTGTGTTGTCAGAAGATGAATGATAAGAAATATCATTATTTCAAGTGAAGTGAATACGTGATTAATTTATGAATAGCTTTCTTTAGTGGCTTAGATTTCTCCATTCAGATGTGGGATGCTTAAACTCTGCTGACTTTGTTCTCTGTAGGGTCACACCAAGATCAATGCCTTCAACTGGGCTAAGGTTCGAAAGCTGAGCTTCAAGAGGAAACGTTTTCTTATCAAACTACGGCCTGATGTGAATGTAAGTTCTTGTCAGGAATTTATGAAGTTGACAACAGTTATTTGGTAAATTTCTACTCACAGATCAAATATATATTTTTATCACCTCAAGAATGTATATTTTTTAATTAGTTGCCTCTACTCACTCTTGGTACTCTGTGGATCAGCCTGCCATCTCAGGTAGGCAATCCTAGCAAAGGAAATGTAAACAGTGTCAGAGTCATCTTCTGGCTGTGACTTCGGTAAAATATCCTATATTCTTAAGTTGTAGCATGTAAACCACCTCTTCTCGTTAATGATAAGACCACTGCTTTATCTCTATCATCCTTGTCAATGAGAGGAAGTTTGGGCAATAGCTCAAAGTGGGAAGGAAAGGACCTGTTAAGCCTGAAAGTCAATGAACTGGGAAAAAGCTTTTTTTTTTTCTTTTTTTCCGGTAGCATAGCGCCTGCTTTGTCAATGCATCTCTAATATAAGTTGCTTGCTTGCTTACATTGCAAATGCTATCTCGATTTTCAGAGTTCGTTCCAGGACACCCTGGAATTCCTTATGGCCAGTCGAGATTTTTGCAAGTCTTTCTGGAAGATATGTGTGGAGCATCATGCCTTTTTCAGGCTTTTTGAAGAACCTAAACCAAAGCCTAAGCCCGTTCTTTTTTCTAGAGGTTCATCATTTAGGTTCAGGTAAGACCTGCATTCTTCTTTCCACCTCTGTTGCCTCCCCATTTGAAAATCGCATCCATAATGATCTAATGATTATTTTCAACTCCCCTTTTTCACACTGTAGTTTGCTCTTTTCTATTTTCCATTGCATCTTCTCAGACAGAACAATGCAAAGAACACTATAGGGAAAAAGCCTGCATAAATTTTGTAGTAGCTCTTGCAAAGTAGCTTTCTGGAGATGGGATATAAAATATATAGGTTTGATCTGGTTGCATGTAAGGAAATCCATGAGCTACCAACTTTTCAGCACTCTTTGTATCCTCTGCTTCTAGGATAGAATCTCTCCTATGTATTAGAGATTTGTATTTTTGTTGAAAAAAATGTGCCTGTGGTAAGGCCATCTCCATGCAGTTAAAAGCAATGGCTTATCTTTTTGCTTGCGAAGGATTTACATGAGATAGCCACCCATGCTAAGACAAAGTCTACCTGTGATATTGTTAGAGCTGTGGAAAATTTTTTAATAGTTGAGTTACTGTTTGTGGTGTTTTTTTTCCCGTTACACTGGCAGAAGCCTCGTTGTAGATATTGTATTGTGTATGCCACGGGGGAGTAAAATCTTTTTACTCATACAGTTTGGTTTGTTTGTGAAGCTGATACAAGCTGAACAGCCAGACATTCTCTTTGCTGTGATAGGCTGTATGTTCTAATGGCCTTGCACAAGGTAGCACATAGTAGATATGGCCATTCTTACCCTTTTCCCACTTTCTTTCCTGCCTGCAAAGTAAGTAGAAGGACCTGTGTTAGCGTAAACAAGCTGTAACTTGTTAAGTTTATGCTGGAGTAAATAGAAGACTGTAGGTGCATTCAACTTACCTTCTTGTTTAGACAGCCAGTTCTGGCTACATCCTCCACACACTGTGATCTGTGCTTACATACTGTAGTGGTTTGAGCCTGGCTGGTGTCCACCAAAGCCGCTCTATCACTCCCCCTCCTTAGATGGGCAGGGGAAAGGAAAAATAACAAAGACCTCTTGAGTCAAGATACGGACAGGGAGATCACTCAGCGATTACCGTCATAGACAAACCAGACTCTGCTTGGGGAAATTTAATTTATTACCAACCAAATCAAAGAAGGGCAATGAGAAATAAAACCAAATCTTAAGAAAAAACCCACCTTCCCTTATTCCTGGGCTTATCTTTACTCCTGATTTCTCCACCTCCTCCTCCTGAGTGGCACAGGGGGCCAGGAAATGGAGGTTGTGGTCAGTTCGTTAGATGTTGTCTCTACCAATCCTTCTTTCTCGGGGGGAGGACTCCTCACTCTTCCCCTTCTCCAGCGTGGAGTCCCTCTTCTGAGAGACAGTACTTCACAAAGTGCCCCAGTGTGGGTACCTTCCATAGGGTGCAGTCCTCAGGAACAGACTGCTCCGACATGGTTTCCCCACAGGGTCACAAGTCCCACCAGCAAACCTACTCCAACGTGGGCTCCTCCCTTCATGGGTCCACCAGTCCTGCCAGGAGCTTGTCTAGCACAGGCTTCCCACGTGGTCACAGCCTCCTCCGAGCACATCCACCTGCTCCAGCGTGAGGTCCTCCGTGGGCTACAGTTGGACATCTACACCGCTCTCAACCTCTGTGGGCTGCAGGGGCACAGCCTGCCTCACCGTGGTCTTCCCCACGACTCAGGGGAATCTCTGCTCCACCACCCGGAACACATCCTCCTCCTCCTTCTTCACCAGCCTTGGTGTATGCACAGTTGTTTCTCACGCTTTCTCACTCCTCTCTGTGCCTGCAATTTTGCAGTAACTTTTTTCCCCACTTCTTAATATGTTATCACAGAGGCGTTACCACCATCACCGGTGGGCTAGGCCTTGGCCAGCAGTGGGTCTGTCTTTGGAGCTGGCTGGCATTGGCTCTGCCAGACCTAGGGGAAGCTTCTGGCAGCTTCTCACAGACACCACCCATACAGCTCCCCTGCAGTACCAAAACCTAGTCTTGCAAACCCAATACACATACATTCAGTAACTCTTTCCAGACCTGGTGGTAATTTAGTTAGTTGAAAGTCTCTAATGAATGAGACAGATTTGATTCTCTATTGACCATTTTTGAGGTGTAGACTTTCTTTACTGCTCTTGGTTCCCTTTGGAGTCTATAACGTTTCACAGTGGGAAGTGCTGGGCTTTCTCACTACTTTTTCATGGCTTGTAGCTGAACAGAAGAATGGTATTTCCAGCCTAAATCTCTTCAGAAAATGTATATATGCTTAGATTATGTGTTTAATGGTATGAAACGTGAAATATATTTCAGCAGTTTTCATGTTGGTTCCAGGGTTTACTGGTACCTGGTAAGGCTGGTATTTTACTCAAAAGGATTCAACAATATTTTTTGTTCATGAGAGGAAAGTTTAATGCCTGCTTAACTTTCTATTTTGATGACTTCCCAGTGATGTAGTACACTATAAAGGGTGCACAACTGAATTTAAGCAATTCTAAAATGGTATCAAAAAATAGCTCTATAGCAAAGAAGGAGTCAAGTAATACAAAAAAAGATAAAAATCTGTGTGTATCTGACCAGGTCCCCTTCCTTATGATCTTATGTGAGTTTCTGCTAGTAGTGACAAATACTTTTCTGGTTGCTGTGGCTTCGTATACAGGTCACATACATGTTTATGCTGACAAGTTAGTATATTGTATTAAATATTTTAACTGCGGTTTTCTTCCAGTGGTCGCACTCAGAAGCAAGTTCTTGACTATGTTAAAGAAGGAGGGCACAAAAAAGTGCAGTTTGAAAGGTGAGAGAGAATAAATGAACTATCCTGATTTGTTTTAATCAAAGAAATTAAATGGTTTTGAGTTAGTTATACTCAGAGATCTTGGCACCAATCCAAGTGAAAAATTCTTTCTTTGCTGGTTTGACAGTTTAGCACTTGTATAATACTTCCATGGTCCTGAATGTTTTGGCAGAAGTTGGCATAACCTGTAGTTTACTTAATATAAATAGTCTTCAATCTGTTTTTCAGCAGTGAATGTCCTACCATCACAGGTAACTTCCTCCTTGGTTTTCACCTTCTTTGTTGGGTTGTGGTTAACGTATGTGAATAGACATAGTCACCTCAGAATAAAACTGAAGGTAGCAGGAATAAGTAGAGCCAACCTCAAGGGAGAGGTCTCCAGGGAAAGCTTCCAACTTGCTACATCCAGTTCTGTCTGAACTCATCTTGCTCATGGTGAGCATGATGGCCAAAATGCCACAAAGACCATGACAACAGTTCATTGCTTGTGACTCATGTTCTGGTGATAGATCATTTTTGCTTCAGTGCCTCTCCCTTTCCTAACAATGTTATTTTTGCCACACGTAGCGCATTTAAATTTTACAGACTGGAGGAATGTTAATCTGTTTTAGAGCAAACTTTTATGAAAGCTGCTTTCCAAAGGTTTTGTTTTAAAGGAGGTATGTCTCTTGTTTCCTATTTGTAGAATAAAAACTGAAGTGGCTTCTTACTGTGATTTTTCCTTTTGTCTTCAGGAAACACAGCAAGATTCATTCCATCAGAAATCTGACTGCACGGCCTTCAGAAGAGCATACAGAGGTGCCAAAACAAGTCAGTGATGTTGATGAAACCCCAGATCATGCCTTTTAAATGTTTCATGTTAGATTACCTTCCACTGATTGCTGTTTTGGAACTCTAGGAGCATAGTTTTCTGCTCACTTCCCATCTAACTGGAAGCTTGAGAGCCTTAGGTGTCGTAAGTTTTAGGTCCTGCAATGGAACAGGTTCATTTCTGCTGTGGTACAGTATTGCTTCCAGACAACTAGACAAATATAAACAATGTCTGACCATGTGAAAAATAACAATCCGTAAGGTTACTGCTGGGGTTCTGCATTGTAGCTGGTTCTTGCATCTGGGAAACGCTTAATTCTTTGCCTTCACTGGGGAGACCTGGTTGCCCGTGACAAGGTGTTTTGTTGTATTAATTAATTATTTCCTCTGAAAAATTACAGCTCTGGACTTTTGAGCCATTATCTCTAGTAGATAGCCAATGTATTTGTTTTGCATTAGTAGCTGTAAGGTGTTAGCAGTTTGCAAACCAAACAGCCCAATAGTGGCAAGGTTGCATACATAAACAGATATGCATTATGGATCCCTTCTGCAGCTGATCCAGTAGCAGGCCCCTGGATCCCCAGGTCTCCCAGTGGCTGGTGCCTGGATATACAAGCCCCCAAGGTTCACAGCCCCACTCTGGTTGCTGATACTCCAGGGATTGAATATGGGATGCTGAAAAGCACACATATGGCTTTTTTAGGGTATAGAAGTAGTCTGCGCAGAATTTTTCTTGTGTGTTTATCTTTTCCTCCAGCTTCTCAGAGTAGCGTGAACAGGTTGATCTTAGAGTGTTGATGGCTGCCTTAGGGCTTGGAAACACCTCATATACCCCTTTTTACATATCACTATGTTCTGTCTGCCTTCTCTTCCCGTACTTAAATATTTTTCTGTTCTGCAAGACCAGAGGCCTGTGTTTTTTAATTCTTTTTAATTTTGAACATTGGGTTGCCTCTTCTACTTTCAAGAGAATCCTGTATTGCTGCAGATGTAGTGCAAAATTGTGGCGTGCAATTACACATAGCCTTTTCCCTCTGGCTCCCTTTCCTCCCAAACCTCACCCTTCCCTCCCCCTTTGTCTTCCCCTTGCCTTCCCTCTTTTGTCTTTCCAGAGCTCTGGCTTTGCCTATGGAGATGACAATGATGCAGCTGCAGTGCAGAGCTGCCGGCAAGGAAAAGATTTAAAAGCTTCAGCAGAAGACTCTGGACAGCACAAGAGCCCTTCCTTGAAGAAGAGCCCAAAGGAAGGCAGAAAGGTGGATGGAGCAGTGGTGTCAACAGTGGAGGAAGAAGAGGAGGCTGCTAAGGACAGGATGCAGCAGAACAGACCTCAATCACAGCAACCAAGCACAGGTCCAGCTTCCAGGGCTGCTCATGGCAGCAGCACCTCCATTCCTTTCATTGACTGCAGTGATGTAGATAGCGAGTATGATCTCCTCAGAGGACAAATAACCCGGTCATATTCCCAAACAAATGACAATTATGAGGGTGATTTGACCAGTGGTGCCTATATTCACTACAGAGATGAAAATTGCAATAGAACTAGGTATAGGGATTCCTCGGCCTCCATAAAGTCTTCCCAGTATCTCTCTGAAGAGTACCTTGATGATAACCCGGCTAATCTCTCCTTCTACACTGGGGGAAGCCCCAGGATGCCGAGGCACAGCTCGCTGGTTGATGAAATGTTTAGAGAGCCAGGGAGCCGTAGTCCACTGGCCACTCCATTGCCTCCCAGTAGCAAAGGGTCAAGCCCTAACGTGAGCTTGAGTAGAACTGGCTCTCAGGGTTACGTCTCAGAAAATGGGCATGACTGCAGGGTGAGGACTGGGGAGGAGGATAGCCATGCCAGTAGCTGCCATGGGTATTGCAGATATTCTCCTGGTTCTCAGCGGAGTCGTGCACAGAAAATCCCAAATCCCTGCAATAAATCAGTTACAGACCCATTTATCCTAAGCCAGATATCCTCAACCCCTGGGCAGGAGTATAGATCAGAGAGATTTTATAAAGGAGGCGGGGTGGCTAAGATGTCTTCTCCAGAAGGCAAAATGATGGCCAACGGTATGCCAGCTGGGGCACAGTCAAAGCAGAGCCCAGTCCTGCATTCGCTACGCGCCAGTGGCATGATGGATCACATGGCTGCAGTCCAGATGATGGAGGCCTCCACCAGCAGTGGGACAGAATCTAGCGATTCCGACTCGGAGATCATTAACCCTTTCACTCACCCCCTGGTGTTTGGAAATCCCATTGTGCTGAGTTCCTCTCCCTTACCTAGAAATAAGTACTCCTTTGGAAGCCTTCAGCTTGATGAGGAGGTAGAAGAGGATGTGTCTGTTGGCCTCAGTGATGAAGATGGTATGCAGGTCTTCAGCTGCTAGGGTCCAAGGTGTATGAGACTAGTGCATGCTCACTCAAGCGACTGCATCTTTTGAGGCTCGGGAAGAGTAGCTGGATGCAATTTCAGCACATGGGCTATTTCAAATGTTATCCTTGTACTGACTAGCCAGAGGGAAGGATGCTAGAAATACAATAGTAAGTCTCAATGAAGCTTAATAGTAATGCTTCTCTGCTGAAAGGCAGGAGGAGGGGAAAATTATTTCTGATTTAGGTACCATTGTAAGACTTTATACACTTACCTGTTCTTTGTATGAAATGTTTTGAGTATATATTGTAGCTTTTTTGACACTTGACTAGTTATTTTGAAAAAAAAAAAAAGTACATTGTACTCTTTTGTATGTCTATTGCAAAATTTTTTTCTCTCCCATGTAAGGAGAGTAATTTTTGAGTGCCTCAACAGAGTTAGGGGAAAAAAAATAAATTTACAGCCAAATGCAGGCAGCTTGATATTCAAGACCAAGACTTGCTGAAACTTTGAAATATGCTGGAAAATCTTTTCATAGCAAGAATGTGTTTGGTCTACTCATCTTCATAACCCATTTTATAATCTTAACTGATGAATTGAGGATACAAATTAGTCTTGTATACAGGAACAGTGACAGTGTTGGCTTTTTCTTCTGTGGGTTCAACAGAGTGTTTTGGTGTTGGAGATTTTGGAACTCTGAATTCTTCACTGAGCGAGAAAGAGAAAGACATGAAAGATAAAATTCAAGTGAAAAAAACCCCTTAGATTGAAACAGCTCTAATGAAGACTGATATGAGTATTACTTGCAAGGCAATCCTTTCTGTCCTTTATCAGTGTGATATAAAGATTAATTGTGTGAGATTTTTTCCCCTTATTTCAGTGGAATTATTATGGAGACTGATCAAAGTTCTGTTGTGGGTGACGTTTGGTGAGGGGTTTGTGGATGGTGGCTGTTTAATTTTTTTTTTGCTTTGATCATGAAAAATCTTTATCTATATGGGATCCAATTAGTCTTCATAGGGTGTTTTTTTTTTGGTGGCTTTTTTTTTTTAATAGTGCCACCTCATAAATTTTTCAACCCCTGACACAAAGAATGATGGGATAACTGTGTTCCAGGCTGATTGTCTTCTGTACTGTCTGTAGAGTAGCAAGATTTTGGCACATGTGCAGAAGGACAGAGAGAGAGTAATTCTTTGTAAAGTTCCTTCCTTTTCACAGGCTAAAAGTATAAAGAATTAAGGCTGTATCCTAGTAAAATCTGATTCTAGTTTCTCCGAGTTAATTAAGAAAAATCCAGATGAAAGGTCTCCTGCATGGAAAGTGTCCTGCAGTCGTCAGAGCTGGGAGACGAGATGTGCTTGTTAACACTAACCTTAATTTTAACTTTTATATATTTTTCTGTGGGGGAAGGGAACTAAATCTGAGAATTTTAAGTGATGACCAACAGTACTGACTGAACTGCAGGTTACTTGCAGTATTCTGCATCATACAGTACATGCACGCGGCAGTGATGAATCCACCCACGTAAGCACTGATGAACAAGTTACAGGACTTTGTAAATTTACACAATATAAATTTTTCAAGATTGTTTTTACAAAAATAATAAGATAAGAAGTCTTTTTAATTTTTGTAATGCCTTGGTCTATGCAGACTTTAACAGAGTTTAATCTGAGTGAAGGATATTTAAAAAGATACCTACAGTAGCTAGGGATGTCTTGGTATATACTTTACGTTTTTGCAGTAAAATATATCTTTGTGTAAATATAAGTTTTAACCTGCTCATCTCCTTTAGTGTATTGACTTTTCTAAAGATTAGATACATCATCTTTGAACTGGAATGATTTAAAGCATCTCTTTAGACAGTGATATTTTGGTGACAGGGAGTGCTCTTGTTTGTCCCTGTAGTTTAACGCATGAATCTAGAAGGAGTGAGATTGATAATTAGGGAAAAGCTTGCTTGTACAATATTCTAAAAGAAAGTGGTTTGTATTTTGGATTTAGAATAGGTGTAAAATAATTGCCTTGAACTTCTCAGTATTTAAGATGAAATATAAGTAGCTGAAGCTTGCGTTAGCAGATAGCGTGAGCGTGGGGACCGGGTGCATGAGTGTCTTTTTGATTTTTTTTTGCTGCCTGTGCAGCAAAAGTACCACTAGTTATATTGTACAGTAAAGTAATAGCAATCTGGACAGATGAATTAATTGCTTTGTTAGCCAGTGAAATTGAGTTCAAGTAATGGATTTTCAACAAAAGGATTTGCAGTCTTGCTACCTAAGACAAGTGAATAGGTTTCATATTGTTTGGATTTAAGTGAATATAAAATTTTGTAAGTGGTGTTTACTATTTTGCATCCTTTCAGATACTGTTTTCAAGCCTGATTTCTTCTCTCAAATGCCTACGAACATAATGGATTTACAATTTTATAGGAACACATCTGCTGGTAGCTGGAGTTAGCCTTGTTACTAACAAACTATCTCAACAGCTTTTCTTTTTCCTCTTGAATATTATCCTCAAAAATGAAATCTGAGGATTTTTCTCTGACACTTTTCTATCATCTGGTGTTTTTTCAACTGTAAATATTTAAGTGGTTGTCATTTTAACACATGTGAAATTCTTCCAGTTTGAGGACATAAAGTTTGTAAATTACATAGGAAACAATTTCATTTAGGATGAATCATTTTTGTAGTGTTATTATGCCACTGAATTTCCATTTAGTGTCAGTAGACAATCATTTAATTAAAAACAGTCTGTGGGCCAAATTCCTCCACCAGACATGTGGTTCATATCTGAGTGTTTGCCAAGAATGGTAAGGGAGAGAGCAGTTTTAAATTGATGTTTTCATGTAGGATCAGGTTCCTCAGAATTCGTCTGGGAGTTTGTTTATGTGGGACAAATACAGAAAGACCTTGCAGGAAGGAACAGAAACCTTTGGGGCAAGGGTGCGAATGAGAAGAAATGGGAGAATTCTCATTCTGGTTCACAAAGCACACATGGGAGGAGGAGCCTGTCAGTTTAAGTTAGTTGTTGCAAGTGATGATTAATCTGCATGCATTGGTCCACAGCAGTGGTGTAAGCATACCTGTGTCTCAAGTCTAACAGAGGTAGTTATGAACTAATTAAAAGATTTGATTCTCCCACTAATTTTAGTAGATTTTTGGAGTGTGGCTTGATAGTACTTTTGATTCACCGTTGTAAATTTTTTATTCTTAATAATTAACTTTTAAATCCCATATTCATCAAGTGCCCAGCTATCCTTAGGCAGTTGCTACAAATGAGGGAGCTAAATCCTGGCAAGATCGAGCAGCTACGACTACTCTGAATGAGTAGTCCTAAGCCACTCATCCCCTGTCTTTCTAGTGAATGTGGAGGAATCCTCTTGCTGGGCTGTCCTGACAGCTTCTCCCTGTGCTGAACCAACCCTGTTCACGTAGTTGGATGAATATGGAAGCTGGTTGCAAAAGTGGCTTAGGGAGTTGTCCCAAGTTGTGCTGAGGGATGTGATGTTGACAGGGCTAGGACAAAGGTTGGACTCAATGATCTTGAAGGTCTCTTCCAGCTGAAACTGTTCTATGATTCTAAGATAATGTACAGATGTGGTTAGTCTATGGATAAAAGGCACTCTGATTCTTTCTTTGCTATTCCAGGTGCTTGACCATGTTCAGTCATCCACAGTGACGGGAGAAAGGTGTCAGACAACTTTAAGTTTTCTGGAGCTCAGCAGTAGCTCAAACTTGCTATGTCCTATTGGGATCTTCTCCTGAAGTTGTTTTTGTTTGGGGTTTTTTTTTTCATGCCAGACTTTTCTAGAATCTAGTTCTTCTCAATGACCTGGGATGTAAAATCTGGGAGTAAATTTGGCTAGATGAAGGAAATGAGAATAGTGACTAGTTGATGTAGGAGCCAGGACCTAAGTAGATTATTGCAGGTATGCAGTTTTGAATAATTGCTATCTGAACAGCCTAGACTGTGCTGGTTTTGATTTGAGTGCGTACCT